AGGGTGTCTTCCTCCTCCCTTTTTTTGGTCTAATGTTAAAGATTTTCAATGCAAGCTCACCTTTAGAATAGCAACCTATAAGCAAAAGAGACCTGAAGGTGGGCCTCAGAAAAATTTGTTTCATAAATGGATGGACTGATATGGTCCAGCTACAGTAGATCTGGGTATCTCATCTAGGTTGGGAAGCAAAAGAGGATTGACTCAGCTTAAAGTTGACTAGGAGAATTCTAGTAAATATCAGAGTTATACTTAATGGAGGTTGAAGAACATCTTAGGAGAAAGCAATGACAAAACACATTTCCACTGTGACCAAGAAAACGACATGGATATATCTCATGAGGCAGGAGAATTTAAAAAGAAGACCACCACCTCTGTGGACATTGCTGCCATAAAGTCACCAAGAACTGCACTCAATGCAAAGGAAATAATTACATTTTTAAGACTGATAACAGAAATAGTCCTTTAGATTACTATACCACTTTCTCTCCTTAACACATTCCAAGATGTATTTCATTAAACCAATCACGGTTACCCATGACTGAAGTATACAAAGAGAAATGGTTTGCAAACTGCAATGATTGGGATCTCACACTAAGGCAAAAGAAAACAAATCACATTACATCTTAGATTAGAACAATGCCTTATTCAACCATATCCTTCACATATATAACAGAAGAACAGAGTTGGAAGGGACCTTGAAGGTCTTCTAGTCCAGCCCCCTGCTCAAGCAGGAGACCCTATACCATTTCAGACAACTGGTTGTCCAATCTTTTCTTTAAAACCTCCAGTGATGGAGCAACCACAACTTCTGAAGGCAAGCCGTTCCACTGGTTAATTGTTTTAACTGTCAGGAAGTTTCTCCTTAGTTATAGCTTGCTTCTCTCCTTGATTAGTTTCCATCCATTGCTTCTTGTCTTGCCTTCTGGTGCTTTGGGGAATAGGTTGAAACCCATCCAACCCCACTTCTTTGTGGCAGCCCTTTAGATTTACCCAGTTGGAGCAGCCAGAACAGGGACAGTGAGATGAATTATCTTCTCACAGCTTGCTTTAATTTCTTGTTGGTTGGTACCAAATGTTTTCTTTTTCTCTCTACTCCTTAATGAATCTCACCTATCTCACCTAGAGAGAGATAGAAACAAAGTGACTCAATCCTATAGCAGTTGCTGGCCTGGCTTTTGCACTGAGCAAAGTGAATCTGAGCTAAGACAAATTGTCTTTTTTTGCTCTGGAAAGCTGTTCCAAGTCATGCCAAGGATAGAGGTGAAAGGAGTTGGTATCTAGAGTAACCCAGAGCAACACGGATTTGTTTTTTGTTTTCCTATCAGCTTGATGGAAGTATACGATTTTGAAATTTCTTTTGAGTTTTGAGTAACTTCGAGGCGGATTTCAGCAGAATCTTAACCAAGAAGCCATGGACTGAATAGAAACCCAACACAAGGCAGGATCCAGGTGGTGGGTCAGCATTTTCTCATTCTTGCTTGTGCAGCATTATCTCCAAATCATTTCTATAAGATATATTGGACTAGAGAAGACGGAAAGGTGGACCGATGTCTCAACAAAGGAAATGAAGCCGAACTTTGAATTTGGTTCCTGGGGCTCAGCTGTTAATCTGATGATTGAATCTGCCACTTTTTTTTTTTTTTTTTTTTTTGAGATGTAGCATTCATTCTGGGCCCAAGAAAGCCATTTATTGATAGCAAAATGGTATTTTATTTTTTCACTTAAGACCAGGGGATAGACATAGTCTCTTGTGGTTACTTATGGCAAGTATGTGTGCAGACTCAGTTCTGCATCTTCAGGGGTCCATTATTCCACTTCTCCCGCACTCACATCAAACACGTGACAAAAGTCTGAGACATTTTTAGCAAGCTGTAGCACTTTGGCTTAAATTTAGAATCCTGGAGTGAGCAGAAGGTTGGAACTGATGGCCAGTTAGCTGCTTTCTCCTGTAGGGTTCGAAAAATTAATAATAATCCCACTTTCCATGGTTACCCATTCTAAAAAGTATTTTCCCCCACCATGGACATGTAGGTTTGCAGCTTTAAAAGATTTAACTATGCCTGTCTTGGATTACACCAGGATTTGAGTGTTCCACTCACATGGTTTATTCAGCAGACAGCTAACAATTTAGATATTTTGCTGTTTGAAAATTTCTGAACTAAAAAGGAAATAATTGCAACAATTCATATAGCGATCCTGCCTGAATGTAATTACTACACTAATAGACTTAATTTCTACTGAACTGGAACACTAATTGAAAAATAATTTATCATAGGGCCTTCGAGTTTCAGTTCACCTTGATGAGTCCACCGATATAAATGGATAAAATTGCTTATCAGCAATTACTGTGCCCATATTTAGTGAACTTGTTCAGAAAGAACTGTTGAAACGATTTATTCTAAAAACACAGTAGCAGGTAAAGTTCTCATCCATAATTTTTATCAATTATGCTAGGAACATTCTTTTTAAAAATATAAGCTGTCATCTTTTAGCAACAGTCATGGTGGGGAACATCAATGAATATTGCTTACTACAAAGAAAAGAGATCTTATTTCAAAATTTATTTCATATTGCAGCATTATTCACCTGGGAAAAATGTATGGTATCAAGTTTAAATGTATCATAAATGCATTCACAAACAAACACACGGTCATTTTCACATAATAACAAAGACTATCCAGATGAATCTTTGCATATAGACAACTTATGACATGTCAATGCAATGCTAATGCCCAAGTAGAGCCATCTTAATTTGCTCTTTGAAAATAGGACAAGGAAAATAAATAATTTGGCTATTTGATAAAAGTGTAAAATTCAAGCGGTTCTATGCTGAATACAATTTTCCCATTAAAATGTCCATAAAAAACTGTATTCAGAAAAAAATAGGCTGAGTCAATATATCAAGCTAAGTCATAACACGGTTTGATGTTGGTTTCATATGTGAAGTAATCACTGTTTTTGATCAGTCATGGTTTATAACTTAGCATGTTTAATTAATTGAGGAAATTTAGTTTTGTATGCAAAACCAGCTCACTAGGATGAAGACAATATGTCTCTAAAAATGACTTCTTTTTAAGACTCAAATGAAAATCACAACACTTTCTAGAATCTAGATGATTTGCAACTGTTGCTTTTGTTGAGAGATCCTTCGAAATTCTCAACCTCTCCTGCATAATACAAAGCCATCCCTTTTCAGCTTGTTGGGCTGAATAAATTGATGTTCCTGAAGATCTAGGATTCAGATATTGGGCTGAGCAAAAATTCTGCAGTTCCAGAAATCAATTTGTACTCCTTTGGATTTAATTTAGATATGATTCTAAACTGTGGATCAATAAAAATTCAAACAAAGATGCCATAATAGGCAATTTGCTAGTAATGATAATTTGAAATTAATTTAACTAACTGATAGTGAGTTGGAATGACATTGACCTTACAAATCAAAGTTCTAGGAAGGAACATGGAATATTGCCTTGCACTAACTTAAGACCTCAAGTCTTAACTTGGCATTATAATTACTGGTAGTAAATCCACAGTTTTCATGTAAGTCTTAATCCTACCTGGAAGTTCTACCAACAAACCAGGTTGGTTGTACCTCTAAATGAATTCTTTTCTCTATACTTTCATTTGGCTTAAAGCTATTGTTAAACTTCAAGACCACTGGACCCAGTTGAAACAGCCAAGGAACAGAATACAAAGGCACACTGCCTACTCTAAGCAACACTTTGCCTGCATGCTTGCTCCTACATGATGCAAGAAACGTACTGAGATATCTTGGGCAGATATCTAGAGACAGTGGAAGGAAAACAATAACCTTTAGCTTTGATACTGCTTAACAATTTGAGGAAATTGGTGTAAGTTTAGAATGAGATAAAATTAAAAGTTTTTTCCCCAGATGTTATGGTTAAAGGAACATGTAACACTGATTGCCAATGAAAAGTTATTAGTTTAATGTGCTATTTATTATGCATAAAACACATTTGTAAACTTGAATTCCCGAAGACAGAGAAAAAAAACCAAGAATATTTATAAACACACGAGCACATGGCTTATCATCTAAAAGACTTGCAGTAAACAGTCATTCTGGCCTTCTTTATTTGTTTTATTTGTATCAATTCTTATTTCTATTTGTCCATATTCTGTTTCCATGAATTCATGAAATTCCATGAACCTCAATTTGTTATTTAAAATTGATTCAACACACACTGTTGAATCAGTGAGACTGCAGTACAAGTCTCAACTGTTTTTTTGTACAGTTTCAAGTCTTACAGAATAGAACATGAAATTCCATGGCCTTTGAAATCGGTTTCACACATGTTGTTTCCCTCACAGACTGAGCTACAGCTCAAGGGTGATTCACATTAAATTGTCTTGGATTACTTAGGAAACAAGTTTTTTTTAATGTTGTGCACTTCAAACAGAGTTGGAAGTCCATTACTCTGTGTTTACCTATCATAATTCTTTCCTGTTCATATTTTTCAGTGGGGAGCAAACCAACCAGTTGTTCTGAACTTTCTACTTCTCTAGATGGTTTGGATAAGTCCCCAGTTTTCCAGCATAAGTGCAACTCATCAGGAAGAGGTAATCCTACTATACTGATACTATTTGGAAATCATGGCCAGCAAGGGCAATGTGGAGAAAAGGCACAGTCTCATTATAGATATTTGAGGTGTGGAACTAACTGTTCTACCTTTTTGAAGAACTCCTAATAATAACTATTTATTCACTGCATCAAGCCAAACCTGCATAGTCGGACACATGCCGATGTCTCCAGACCCAAAATGGACTATTACCAAACCTTACCATTTCTGTCCGTTTTCCCCTCAATCCGATGATGCTACTACAGTGGCTACTGTAGTGTTAGAATACAGGAGCCCACAGTAGGGACAGCAAAAAATTGGAACATCAGAAATGGTTTTGGATTACAGCTAGGTAGGGACCCCCTCAAAACTAGGAAGAATTTGGATATAAAATAAGAATATTGTATCACCACTTCAGAAAGCATATTATTTCAGCTGAGGAAGAATTTTAATACTTCAAAATTGTACAGTAATAACTTGCTACAATAATGTGCCAAAGCACAAATTGTTCTAAGCTCCACACAAAGACGTCTGAGATTTCTGGTAACTAGTCAAGTTGACATAATATCTGGCCATCGTGCTTGGGTTTTCTTGGCATCAATATCTGAGAGTTATGGCCAGCAGTCTTCAAATACCCAGCAGTGCTTTTATCCATACAACAGGCCTCTTAGAACTCCTTCTTCTTCAGAGATTGTCTTCATGTAACTCCAGACGACAAATTCCTTCTGCCTGAGGGGAGTCATGTCATGACCTGAAAACTATGAGGAGTATGACCAGCAAGAAGATGCTAATAGTTTGTCTGCTACCTCCTGATGTCCTCCGGGCATGCGGTACCACAAAAACAGCATTTGTGTGATTTGTGGGTATATCTACATTGCAGATCATCCCTTCGCAGCAGGAAATGCACTCCTGTAAATTGTAATAGATAACGTTATTACACGGAAGCCTTAGTGCTTCTTGATTAAAGGAATCAATCAATAAATCTGCATCAATTTGCACATGGAAATTATAACCCTCTTTGAAGAAAAGAGATGCTCTCTTTTTAGATGCAGCGCATACTCCTTTTAAAAATACAACCTTCGACAGAAAACATCACCTTATGAAATACAATATATCTACCGTCCAGTTCTCTACAAACTATTAATAATGTATTAAATGGCTGCTGCTAGATTCCTTGGGAATCTTTTCAAAGAGTAATAAAACTTTTTAAATCTACATAACAATTCTGCTAATCAATTGGAATTAAAACGCAGGTTATAGGTAGCATATCATACTGCTGTATTATCTAACGGCACCTTTGCCTCAGAAAAGAAATGCATAGGTAAAGAGATTGCTGGCCTTGAAAGAAAGAGCGCTGCCACTATCCTTGACTATTCAAAGAAATAAAGGAGACAGAGCTACGAGGGCACTTATAACTAAAATATGCAATAAAGTATAAAATCCTCCATATACTGACACTTCAGTTTTATTGTGATCCTGGTTCTCGGATCAAGAAAAAAATATATACATACAGGAGGGTAACAGAAAATATTGGAATACTGACGATTTGGCAAATTGCTGGATGTTTGTTATTCTTGCAGAAAAATGAATAAGCAACAGTTGTCTATTTCCAAGAAAAAATCTGAAGCGGAAACAAATCTCAATGCTGCAGTCTAACCAATAGGATGCAACATACCGTAATTCAATACTATTAACACGCTGCATGCCTCCCAGTCATAATACAGAAGTCTGCCTTTGTGCCCAGAAAAAAAACAAACTGCATTTTTGAGCAGCAATGAGGAATGATCTAGTGCACACATTAGTTTTATTAGTTGAATAGAATAGAATAGAATAGAATAGAATAGAATAGAATAGAATAGAATAGAATAGAATAGAATAAACAGAGTTGGAAGGGACCTTGGAGGTCTTCCAGTCCAACCCCCTGCTCAGGCATGAAACCCTATACCAGACATGTCAAACTTGCGATGTCACATGACGTCGCGCAACGTATCGGAGCTTTTTTGCCATTGCCGGCAATGGGGTGGGCATGGCTCCGGTATGATGAAAAAGGGCCGTGGGCCAGTAGTTTGACACCCCTGCCCTATACCATTTCAGACAAATGGTTGTCCAGTCTCTTCTTAAAAACTTCCAGTGTTGGAGCATTCACAACTTCTGGAGGCAGGTTGTTCCACTGGTTAATTGTTCTAACTGTCAGGAAATTTCTCCTTAATTCTAGGTTGCTTCTCTCTTTGGTTAGTTTCCATCCGTTGCTTCTTGTCCTGCCGTCAAGTGCTTTGGAGAGTAACTTGACTCCCTCTTCTTTGTGGCAACCCCTGAGCTATTGGAACACTGTTATCATGTCCTCCCTCGTCCTTCTCTTCATTAAATTAGACGTACCCAATTCCAGCAACCGTTCCTCATATGTTTTAGCCTCCAGTCCCCTGATCATCTTTGTTGCTCTTCTCTGTACTCTTTCTAGAGTCATCTAGATCATCTTTTACATCAAGAGGATCACGAAAGTAACCATAATTATCATGTTACGAGAGACAATTTAATCAAGAATGATATTCCAAAAGTGGGCAATGAGGTCTTTGATCCACAGTTAGAGCAGTGCCCAAACACAGCATCTTCTCAATTATATAATGCATTGATACATACTGGCTAGTGCCCTCGCTCATAGGTTGCACAGATCAAAACATATTTAGGCATATGTAAATATTCTCTTAGCAAACTAATCACACAGATGCCAGAAGCAGCGCAAAGACTGAGAACCCGCATTATCAGAGCTGTACTTAAAAAAAGAATCTAAATTCTACGTAGATGAAAATCTGAATCTTGAATTATTTATAATTCAGCCAAGCACATATTCAGCGTAATAAATCCTGCTTTTACTGATTATGAAGAACTCACGATAGCCATGTTGAACATTGAAGCCTCATTTTGCGCTATGAATCTTAATAACTGTTATTCATCCCTGCCTTGCTTCTGAGACTGTATAAAGCAAAGCTCATATTTCATTATGTGTACTGCTGCAAACTTCAGGATTAGAAATGTGAAAGAAAAGGGGGAAAAAAGAGAAAAGAAAGTAAAGAGCTTCAGGGTATTAAAGTGTACATTTTTTTATGTTTGCTTTGCACTTGTATGGAATCATAAAATACACTCTGCCGTTCTGCTGCAGGTCAAAGCGTAGTGAAATTGCGGGAAATCTCTCATTCCTTCCATCTAAAGTCGAAGTTTTGTGTGACATAAAGTAATTCTACATGACAGCCTAAGCTGTTTGTCTACCAGAATGTTCCCAGAGGCTTCTTAAGTTCTTCAACAATGTTAGCCTGAATTGCAGTGGCTTGGCCCTGGGTTGGGGCTGATATTCAGTCCAGCAAGGCCCCTGAGTGGTCATTTTTCTGCTCCTTGTTCTTATCGGCTGGCTTCCATGTGGACCATCCCACCTGTCATCTCCTGTAAGGCAGCAGTCCCCAACCTTTGGGGCTTTGCAGATTGGAATTGGTGGAGGTGGTGGGGGGGAGAGGGGATGATTCCACGCATGCAGCAGTAGAGTATACTCATGTGCTCACCCACATCGGTTTTGAACGGGCCGTGGCTCAGTATCAGGCCGTGGCCTGAGGGTTGAGGACCCCTGCTTTAAGGGATTACTCCCCTATCACTAGTCTCCATGCCTTTCCTTGACTTTTTCCAGAGATCTGTGTCAATAGCTAGATGCATGTCTCCTTCCCACATTATTTCCTTTTGCCACTAAATCAGAATTTTTCTCCCTTATGGTACTATTGTGACTCCCACGCTACAGTAGTTAAGGCAATAAAGAAGAGGTGGCCCTTTTGATCCAATGTTCTTCTATAGGTCCATAGAAATGTTACATCAAGGCAGCTCAGCCTCACGGAAGCAAAATACAACAGGAGTATTTCTTAAATATATTTCAAAAGGCAAGGAAGAGAAGCTTTGCAGTACAATGCGCAGAGGGGAAAATCAAAGGCAACATGCTTCCTCTAATCTAGACAGCAACTGAAAGGGTTCCCACTGCAGTTGAAAAAGGGGGTATGCAACATGAACTCATGAATGAAGGCATACATGGACTTTTAGTAGGGAAGTTAATTCACAGACTTAACCTTCCATCATTGGGTCGCTGCTAGATTATTTAAAAAATGCAGAGCCCAGCAGTCCAGGATGAAAGAACTTCATAAGGCAATGATCAGCCACTGGAGAAGCAGGGTGTGTTAGAGACAACATTGGAGCTGCTACTAGACTGGAGCAAGGCAACAGAGGCCATCCCCTCTGAAGGGCCTAAGATGGTTGCAGTTGGAAAACAGCAGCTCTGATTCAGTATTGGAAAACACAGGTGTGGACAAACTCACCTTAGAATTAAAAGTAAAAGATGATTCGGAATTTTATGCGGTTTGGGAAAATTGGTATATTTGGATAGACAATAGAAACAAAAATTGGAAATATACATAAGGTTATTGTGCAAATTAGGTTATTGTGGGTTAGATTGAATGTACATAGTGTATATATTGTATAGAATGTAGATCCATAGTATATAAAAATGACATAGTCCGCTGAATATGTACTGTATAAAGAAAAAAGTTAATAAAAATAAATTTTTTAAAAAAAGAAAAACACAGGTGTGGGAAGCATTTGCATTGGGCTGTGAGTGGGAGAAGATTGGTGCTGTCCACTTCTGCTCTTAAAGAGCAGTAGGTGGCCTTTATTGGGCCAGGAGAGAAGTTTTGGTGTGCTGGTTAAGATGTTGATATAAAAACCAAGAAACTGTGAGTTCTAGCCCCACTTTAGGCATGAAAAGGCAGCTGGGTGACTTTGGGCCAGTCACTTTGGCTCAGCCCAATTTATCTCACATGGGGGTGTTTTTGCAGAGAAAATAGAGTAGGAAAGAGCATTAAGTGGATTTACCATTTTGAGTCAAATGTGAAAAAAAAACATGGGATAAAAATCTAAAAAAAAAAAAGTGTGGACTGTCCAGAGTTGTCATAATTGTTTCAAATCATACTATTATGAAGCAAGTTGCCTTAGGTGACAGCAATTGAGATATTTCTTTTAATGGTTTTTCAACAAAGCTCTGTGGAATGATAAATTAAGCAGATAGAACAGGAAATGGCAGATTTTTTTCCGTATTAACAGGGGTTGGATTTCATGACTGTAATTGGTTATGTGATAGTGCTAAAGCATATGACCTCATTTGAGGTCATATTATTGCATATGCTTCTGATAAAGGTAAACATTTCTGCTTCTCATCCATCTCCTAAAACAATATAGGACTCTGGTTTCTGCAAAATATAAATTCAACAAACTTTAAGCTTCCAAAATGGAAATTATATTATTTTGTACAAGGCAATGATAAAGGGAAAGGGGAGAGTAAGCTATTGGGTTTTTTCTTAAAACCAATTAAGCAAATCTTTGATTTATGATATTTCTCGGAAAGTGGATATACATTTTAGACTTATTCATAAACCATTTAAAATTATTTCAAATTATGTAAGTTCCAATTTCTTACCAGCATATGAGGTAGACTTCTTTTTACAAAATATAAAATTACCACAGCTCACAAAATTAGATTACTAACCTTATCTCACCTTTTTCTTTTCAAGAAATTGTGACTAAAATTAATCTACGCGGTTAGAGAAGGTTAATGACCCTGATAGGTCCAGGAAAATATTCTTATTTTTATTTTATTTTTCTATTTTATTGGTGGTTTATAGATTCTTATCCTCCAGTTTAAATAAAACTTATTCTGCAATATTTCCAAGGAGGGCAGGAATCCTTTTATGTTACAATTTATTTCTTTGAAAAATAGGGATGTAAGATTTTAAGTGAGGGTCTCAAGACCTTCAATTGTGTCTATCACATCAAGCTATGGAAAATTATTTCAAAAAATGGGAATCTCAGATTCTATTCATCAGAAACTTATATACAGGTCAGGAAGCCATACTATGAATATTAACAGTGTGAAACAAACTGGTTCCTGGTTGGCAAATGAGTGTGATAAGACTGCATACCCTCTCCTTATTTATTTAAACTATATGCTAAATATATATTAAGGGAAGCTGGATTGGAAAAAGATTAGCATGGTTTTAAAATTGGAGGAAGAAAAATTGATAACCTGCATTATGCTGATGACATACCTTGATAGCTGAAAATGCAAAGAATCTGCAAGGTGTAATAATAAAAGTTAAGGAGCTAAGTGGAAACAATGGGACTAAATGAAGTATAAGGAAGACGAATATAATAACAACGGGTAGAACAACCAGCTTTAGAATTGGCAATGAAGATACTGAAGTAGTGAATAGCTTCTGTCTTCTAGGATCAACCATCAAGAATAAAGAAACAAGCAATCATAAAATTTGCCACCGACAGTGCAGCCATGGAGGCCTTGGAAAAAAATAATCAAATGCTGTGATGTGTTTATACCTACAAAGATCAGAACCCTGCAAGCCCTATGACACTCTATGGAAGTGAAAATTAGGTTTTGAAGAAGCAGGATAGAAAGAGTAATTGAAGCCTCTGAACTTTGGTTTTGGAGAAGGCTCCTGAGAACACCGTGAATAGCCAAGAAAATAAACCAGTGAGTAGGTCATTGAGCAAATCATCCCAGTTCTCATTTGAAGAACAAATAACCAGGTTCAAATTATTCTACTTTGGAATATTATGGGAAGACCTATCTTTCTGGAAAAGGATCTAATGGTGGAAAAGATAGAAGGAAAGAGAAGAGAATGACTAGCAGCAATGTGGTTGGACTCAGTTACAGGGTGATGACTGTAACACTGGAAGACCTGTAGGACCAGGCTAGGGATAGATTGTCATGGAGAAACATGACAATCTTCACAACTTGTTGACACATTATCTATTTCTCTGTCTGTCTGTCTGTCTGTCTGTCTGTCTGTCTGTCTGTCTGTCTGTCTGTCTCTCTCTCTGTCTCTCTCTCTTCTGTCTGTCTGTCTGTCTGTCTGTCTGTCTGTCTGTCTATCTATCTATCTATCTATCTATCTATCTATCTATCTATCTATCTATCTATCTATCTATCTATCTATCTATCTATCTTAGAGATCGTAGTTTTTTCTTAATCTGACATCTGTGAATTCAGGGCCACCAAGCTGATAATATTAGGTTTTTAAGTAATTGCTTTTGTTCAAAATAGAGAAAATGAAGCAGCATTTTTATTTAAATACAGATTTAAAAATTAGTATAATTTCTTGGAGATTTCTGAAGTGATTTCTTAAATTATTTTGGGTTGTATTTAGCTTGTTTTATTCAACTCCCAAGATCACAAATCGATAGCATGTTTCTCCCTATTTTAAATTTACAACATCAGTTGAGGATGCCCTAATTTTACTTTCCTTTCCTTTTTGTCTTTGGTTTTAGAACCACTTGCTTATGCCATTAGAACTGTGAAATCACTAACAAGATTGCAGTAGATTCGGAGAACTTTGTGGTATTGTGAGATGGTGGAGATAACTCAGGGAACTTTCTTAGCAACAGTACTGGCAAATATCCCAAATTTTAATCCCTAAGATATAAAAAGCAGGCATTGTGAGAGGAAAGCCATGTTAGTCTACACTACAGCTACCACTACACAGGTGGTGTCAGGTAGCACCTTTTCAGACTACCAAATTTATTAAAAGGCATAAACTGCAGCTCATTTAGCAGATGCAATAGAGTGTCTAGACATCGGTAGGATTTAAAGTGAAATGAGGAAAAATGAGAGGAAGATAGACGCAGGCTATATGTGAGATACATTACTTGTACCTTATCAAATGTAACAATCTGTAATATATTAAAAACTTTCTGAGTCAGCCTGACTACTTTTGATGTATATGAATTCAGCTATGTCTTGCTCAATTCAGCTAGCATAGTTCGTTTTTCTTCCAAATTGGTTACTTTGAGATCTATAATGGAGGATCACAGAAGGCTGAAATGCTCTGACATTATTAGTTTTGAGTTCCGATATCATATTTGTGTCCATTAATTCTTCTGTGCAAAGCTTGTCCCAATTGTTTTACACTGAATCCCGAGGAACATTGCTGGCAGATCAAGGTATATCTCACATCAGAAAAAGAGCACCTCTCATCTTGTGTGTGAAGTTGTTGGGGCCAGTGATGGTGCTATTGATGTAAATGTGGTAGCAAAATAGGTATCTGGATTTATTATAAGATCTGGTTCCGATGTTGACATCATTGTTCTGTCATTTCTTATTCCTCTTGAGAATTTGCTTCAGTTTGGATGCATATGCAAGTAGGGGCCTGCCACCCAGTGCTAGAAAAGTGCCACGTCATCAAGTATCAGCTAAGGGAGGCAGGGCTTTGTGCCTTCAAGTTAGTCTTGACTCCTGGCAACTCCCTGGAGACGTTCTTGTCATTTTCTTGGTAACATTTTTTTGGAAATAGTATGCTATTGCTTTCTGTCTAGGGTTGAGAAATAGTTACTGGCCCAAAGACACATGCTTTAGCTGGGATTAGAACTCACATCTCTCACTGATGATGTTATCTAGTTGGGTAATGAAACATCTGGAAGAAAACAACCAAGCTCAGAGAGCACCAAGGACATCATGTCTCCACGTTTCTAACTTGGTACCTTAACCAAACTGGCTCTCAGTTTGGATTGTAGCTTATTAATAATGGATCAGAGTGAATTTTATTGAATAGTTTTAATTTATAATATGTATTTCTGGGCTTTTCCTTCCCCCTCGTAAGACTTTGGAAACCCCATTACATTATTATCACCGTTCTAGGTATACGTATATTTGGTTGGCCTATTTGAGGTAAAAAATGTTATGTATCTATGTACTGAAAGGAAGTCACGATGTGCTAGTACTTCGCCCTAATAGTTTACTCAATGAGTAAAATGCCTTTAGTTTAAGTTGTCATCTTTGAACCACACGAGAATCAGTATTCTAAATGAGTCAAGAAACTACGAAATGAAGCAGCTTTAATTCCATATCTGGAAAGCAATCCATTTCTCCTAGGCCCTCTTACACTAAGAGCTATTTCATAGCAGTTAAAAACTCCTGAGACTGTTCCTGGAAAGAGAGAGAGAGAGAGATAAATGCAGGAAGAAACCCCAAACTCATCTGGATCCATCATAATTCTCAGGCAGAAATTCAACCTTGTCTTTTGCCGTCTGTCAGTATTGCCAAGTATTCCATGGGGAGATTCCATCTACAGCATAGAAAGGGCTCTCTTTGTTCCAAGGGCTAACTTTATACCAAAATGTAATGCTTACTGTATGACTAGTTTCTCTGTGGTGATGGCAGCCAACAAAATGGCATTCTTCCCTGGTAGCACATTTCTTTGTGACAGAGAGGCTCCTTCCGTGACTAGTAAAGTGATGGGTTGTTAAACAGTACCGAGTGTCTAAACAATAAAAAAAAGAGACAGAGAGAAAAGGAAGCAAAAGACAACATCAGGATTCTTTTACAATTATATTTTATAAGCTCAGGCATGCTGACTTAGCCTTTTCACTAAAAATCAAAATCCTGCTAACGTCTCAACACTTGCCCTAAAATTATTGACACATAAACCAAGTTTTGCTTGATTGGAACATTTCACATATTATTTTCCTGTATTCTCTAACCTTAGAGTATACATTTCCTGACCCTTTTCCTTTTTTTTTAAACGATGACTGTCCGCACATCAACATATGGCTTTGCTTTCCACTGGCTGCAGATTTTTTTCCAAATTGTGGAAATGATATACAACCACCCACCATAGTGCTGATGGGGATTCTACCACATGATGGCCCCAAGTGATTTCTTTTCCTAATGGTTGGAAAATATGTATAATCCACCCTTCCTACATTCTCTTGGCAAAAATTCTTCCCAGCCAGAAGGAAAAGCAGCTATGATGCCGCTCCATACAGTGGGCAGATGGTGGAGGAGAAGCCAATAGTCCTAGTAACTGGGAATTCTGGGATTCAACTTCTCAAGTCTGTTGGGCTTCAGATAGGGACATTTATATTATATCCATGTCAGAATTTATGTATTAAATTTATATGCTGTCAAGGATTCCCTTTAGACAAGTTGGGAAGCACATAAATCAATCCATACATACATACATACAGTGGTGGGATTCAGCCAGTTCGTACCAGTTCGGCAGAAGCGGTAGCTAATTGCCCAGGCCCAGAACGGACTTCCGGAAGCGGCATCCACATAGAGAACCGGTTGTTCACATATTTGAATCCCACCACTGCATACATACATACCTAATACATACATTCATACATACATAAATTTATTTTTGAGGGGTCCTTGGTGGTCTCTGAGCTTGGTTGTTTTCTTGCAGACGTTTCATTACCCAAACCAGGTAATGTCATCAGTGCTAGTAAGGAATGAGGTTTGTTCTCAGTTTATGTTCTAGTTTATTGGCTTGCCCTGTGAGTGTTGGTGGAGGTGATTTTGGAGGTTCTTTGGTTGGGCTATTTAATGCTAGCTAATTTGGCAGTTCCTTTTTTTTTATATAAAATTTTTTATTATTTTGAATTAAACAACAAATACAAATGATGCATCTACAAACACCACAAAAGAAAGAAGATTTTTACTCAAAATATTTCCGAATACTCCCGGCAGTCCCCGCCTTGCCTCCACTCTTATCCACTTTCCCTCTCTTTCCTCCCCCTAACCCCACAACCTCTCCTCTTTCCTCCTACCACTCTACATCCCTTTCGCCTTCTAACCACCACGTCGAGTGCAATTTGGGGAACCTGCCGGGAATATTCTCTTATTATTACAATTCCATTATATACTTATAATTATTTACTACATCAATTTATAATTTCCCCTTAAACCCCTCCCCTCCCCGACTTCCCAGAACTAAAACAGGAATCAACACCTCATAAAGCAATCAGTTTAAAAAAAAACTTTAACTCAAATAATTAAAAAACAAAAAACAAAAATTAAACTCCATTTTAACTCAAAACCAAAATTATCCATCTTCCCCAAATCCAAACATCTAAAAAAGTAAACTCTACCATTTCTCTTATAATCATTCAAATATCTTAATCCCAGTAAATACAAATTTTAAATTCTTTAAAATAATATAATTGCTTACATATATAACATTAATCATCTATCTTATTTTTCTTATTTAAATCCTTTAAAATAATACAATTATATTTATATATATCCTTAATCATCCTAAATTCTAACAAACATTTTACTAATCCAAAAAAATTAAAAAAACATTGACTTCAAAAACATTCCTTATTCCCAACCTCCTCTTACATTTCTTCCCAATTTTTTCATTCTTTTTCACATACAAAATCAGTCAAAATCAATAAACCTTCAACCTTTTACACCTTAATCCAGACAAATGCAAATTTTAAATTCATTAAAGTAATATAATTGCATACGTATATGACATTAATCATTTAATATCTTATTTTTAAATCCTTTAAAATAATATAATTATATTTATATATATCCTTAATCATCTTAAATTCCAACAAATATTTTACTAATCCAAAAAATTTAAAAACATAAGCTTCAAAAGCACTCCTTTTTCCCAACTCTCCATCTTACATTTCTTCCCAATTTTTCATTCTTTTTCACATCATTGATACAAAATCAATCAAAGTCAATAAACCTTCATCCTTTTACGCCTTGTGCCTTTTATATTTTATAACATGTCCGAAGTTTTTGCAAGTAGTAAGCCTGTAAGCTTTTTTCAAAAACCCAAGCAGCAACATCTTCAGCAGGTTTTCTCCAATACAGGACCCATAGATTAATTCCATATAAGCGCTTTTTCCCCAAAACTTCACCAGGGAAATACACCAAAACCATAACCAAATCTATTACCACTTCCTTTCCCAGCTTCTCAAACTTATCAATTTCCAAATCTCCACAATTTTGCTCATTTTGAAGTATTTCCATAACATCTTCTTCAGCCTCTGCTATAAACCTCTGGAGAATAAATGCCACCATTTCTTCCAATTTCTTCATCCAGATATCTTTAATTTCCTCATTATATTGCTTGACTGCTTGCATCAAGGCATCTTGTGCATCATTTATAATCAAAGAAAAAGGCATTTTCAATAAATCCCAAACAATAACCAAAAAGAAAAAAAAAATACTTCTCACATTTTGCTAATTTGGCAGTTCCTTGATTGGGGTATTGTTTATTTGATTGCTGCTCTGATGTTAATCTTGGAGTTAATCTATGCTCATCTGGATGCTGATTGCTGGTGGGGAAGTGTTTTGGTCTTCACCCACCAACACTGACAGGGCAAGCCACTGGAACATAAACTGAGAGCAAACCCCACTTCTTACTAATGCTGATGATGTTAAATAGTTTGGGTAATGAAACATCCGCAAACAATCAATCAATCAATCAATCAATCAATAAATAAATAAATAAATAAATAAGAGCACCAAGGACCTTTCATCAAGCAAAGAAACAAACAAAAAAACAAACAAGAACACCAAGGCCCTCTCATTTCAATCCTGAGCTACAAATATTCTCCTTTATTGGTAAATTAATTTCTGTTTAATGTTTACTTGCTCTGGATTATATGTGAAAGGATGCAAACTTTTCCTGTGCAACTGAACAAAACAAGAGGAGAAAGGAAACAGTAGTAATAATAATAATAATAATGATGATGATGATGATGATGATGATAATAATAACAACGTTGGAAGGAAGCTTGGAGGTCATCTAGTCCAACCACCTGCCCAGGTAGGAAACCCTATACCATTTCAGACAAATGGCTGTCCAATCTCTTCTTAAAGACTTCCAGTGTTGGAGCATTCACAGCTTCTGGAGGCAGGTTGTTCCACTGATTAATTGTTCTGTCAGGAAGTTTCTCCTTAGTTCTAGGTTGCGTCTCTCTTTGGTTAGTTTCCATCCGTTGCTTCTTGTCCTGCCTTCAGGTGCTTTGGAGAATAGCTTGACTCCCTCTTCTTTGTGGCAACCCCTGAAATATTGGAACACTGCTATCATGTTCCCCCCCCTCATCCTTCTCTTCATTAAATTAGATGTACCCAATTCCAGCAATCGTTCCTTGTAAGTTTTAGCCTCCAGTCCCCCTGATCATCTTTGTTGCTCTTCTCTGTACTCTTTCTAGAGTCCCAACATCTTTTTTACATTGTGGTGACCAAAACTGGATGCAGTATTCCAAGTGTGGCCTTACTAAGGCATTATAAAGTGGTATTAACACTTCACGTGATCTTGATTCTATCCCTCTCTTAATGCAGCCTAGCACTGTGTTGGCTTTTTGGGCAGCTGCAGCACACTGCTGTCTCTTATTTAAGTGATTGTTCACTCGGACTCCGAGATCCCTCTCACAGTTACTACTATTGAGCAAGGTACCACCTAGTTCTTTTGGACCTCTCAGCGGCTTTTGATACCGTGGACCACAGTATCATGCTGCGGCGTTTGGGTGGGTTGGGAGTGGGAGGCACTGTTATGCGGTGGTTCTCCTCCTTCCTCACCGACCGTACGCAGTCTGTATTGGCAGGGGGACAGAGGTCGACCCCAAGGCCCCTAACTTGTGGGGTGCCACAGGGGTCG